AGAAGTGCGATCATATTATCTCCTTTTGCAGATCAACTATTTAAACTTTTTTTTTCAGATGTCTGCCGCATACCTGCAACAAATAATTGAAGGATGAAGCTTATTTTAAAGCTCCTGTGAGGAACTTTTAGCTGGTTATGTAACAGACGTAAATTAAAGCTGATGGCTCTTCATGAGCTACAAAAGCAAAGAAGAGCATCAGGGACAAGATTTTTATTTCTATTTCGTCTTTTTTAATTTGGGAAAATGATGCCACAGGGGTAGGTGTCAGACAAGGAGAGAATGAGACTTTGTTTACATTTCCTGAAGGAAAGATTCTCGGTAAAAAAAATAAAAAGTCACACAGCTTTGTCCACAGAAGGCACCAAAATCGACTCAAACTGATAATTCCTCACAGCAGCTTTAAGTGATCTCATTATCTGTTTTCACATGCACTTCTGAAAATATCTAGATCATTTCAGGAGAGGGGGGAGGGGCTCCCAAGGCAGGACATGACTTTAAAAATTGATGCAGAAGTAGGGGAAGAAGAAATAGAGTACACTATAGAGTAAGCACCGTGCAGCAGTCACAGGATATAAACGTCACTCTCCTCTCTTATTGGCTCGAGGTGAATTCTCTGGATAATATTCTGCTGCGTTCTCACATCAGCTCACTCTGAATTTCTGCAGAAAACATACTACAGGGGTCCGGCAGGAGAAACTCTGGATGAAGTCAGAGTAAAAATCTTTCTGTTTGCATTCACACATGCAGCTCCTCCTGCAAATATCAGGAGTTTTTCTGCAAGTGTGACACAGCCATCATCATTTTAATTTTAGAACAAATTAAAGTCCAACAGTTTGCAGAATTACTTTGTTTTTCTGTTGATCCACATGAAGCCAAATACGAGTCATTTATTTTCTCTTGTTTTCGAGGCTTTTTCACCTTCAGTTTTACAGCTGCTCGTCATTTTTTTTTTTTTTTGTTGTTCTAACCACCTTTTAACAACAAGTGAAACAATACCCAGCAGGCGTCACAAAGATAAGTCACTGACGCTCAGGAAGGTTTCTCTTCCTCTTATTTTCTCTGCCTTTTCCTCCGCAGGTCACTTCTACGAAAAACTCTCCAACTCGCCACCATCTGTTGTACACACACACACACACACACACACACACACACACACACACATACATACACATACCTACGCACACACAAATAAGGACCATCACACCATACTCCCACACAGGAAATGCAAATTCATCTTGAGCTGCACGGCATTTAGCGTCTAACTTTGTGAATTCAAACTCTCGCCTTTGAACTGCTCGTGATAAATCGCGTCTTTTTCCGTGATTTTTGTTTTTGCAGAAGTTAACCGTCTGAACTAATCAACCCCAGCCCCCATAAATACTCAGTTTGCTCAGGATAAGCCTGCAAATAACTCCATCACACACTTCCTGTTTTCCAGCACGTAGTGGGTGACCTCAGAAGGAGGAGCGCAGGATGTGCTCCGAGTGGAAGATACAGATAGAGCTTTCCTCGATAGTTTTAATTGGAACACATGTTTAAGTCGGAGAGGAGCAGATGGGATGCATCTGTTGAAGGGTTGTCATGATACCAGAATCTTAAACTTCCATACAATACTAGCAAAAATCAAACAGTATTATAACCTGTTTCAATATCCCCGCAACAATAAGTCTTAACACCCACATTGGACAATTTTGTGTTTTTAAATTTACCCAAAAATGCATGCAAACTTCTGCACGCTGTCCAAAATGTGCAAATGCACTGACAATGTTTCATAACCTCCTCTGATCTCTGTGTGGTTTTAAGAGACACATATGTAACTTTTGTGTCTTTATGAGACGCCAAAACAGACTTGAGAAACGTTGTTTTTCTCTCAACATGTGAATCTGAGTGAACCACGGCTTCTCTCTCTCTTTCTCTAACAGCTTTGGGTGAAAAATATGACTGGAAATCTGTGTTCTTTTGAATTATATGTACTTTTCACTAATAATAATAATGATAATAATCTTTATTTACAGAGAACTTTTCAAAAACAAGTTACAAAGTGTTTTACAAGGACAGCAAATATAAAAACAGGCAGGTCATTGAATAATAAACAAGGCAAGATTAAGACATAATCACTGTAAGATATAAAATCCCTTTTAAAAGAACTGTAAAATACATGCAATTCTTTTTTTTAAAGGAATTCTAAAAAGTGAAATTAGTAACAATTTAAAATCAACAAAAATCAAGAAAAAGTGTGTCTTAAGAATGGACTTAAAAGAGATGACTGATTCGGCCGACCTGAGACCCAATACCACTGAACATTAAGATAAAGACGTAGCATGCATTTTGAAAACCTTAATCTTTTATGCAACTGGAGAAGAGTTGTTGTTTTTTGTGGAACAGATTGTGTGTGAAATCCCTGTCTTTCATTTTTTATTTCATTAACTGCTTCTTTTATGCTCTTAAATCAGAGAATATTCAACTTTTTTTTTTTTCTTCACTTTTTTTGGAGCTTTAAGTTAGTCACATTTTTTGCAATCAGCGGTTAGGTGTGAGTAAACAACATGCCCATGTAAGAAGTGTCACATCCGTGTTTTTTTTCAAGACGCTCTAGCTCGGGCAGCAGAGGTCATCAGTTATTTATATCCTCCTTATGAAACCACAGCTTCCAAATCATAGTTTCCAACAACCAAATGTTTATCCCGGTGTTTTGCTGCACTTACTGACCTGATCCACTCACTTAAAAGTCCCCTCCCCCTCTCATTTGTTAGGTCACAAGATTTATTACTGATCTTTGTAAAAAAAAAATCTCACAAATGTGTTCTTCTGTGGACTCGTGGTGAACAAGAAGTGAGACAAACGCCAGACAGCATTGACTCAATCAAATGCAAATTGCCCAATCTGTCTGCTACCACAAAACCATCTGACTATATGTGGCAAGCCTGAGATTTATTTATACAAGTGCTTCTGTTTGTTTGTTTGTTTGTTTGTGTTGTAAATGACCCGGGCATGCTCTAGCTTAGGTTTGCCCAAATATCTTCCGCTTTGTCCTCCCTAGACAGACAGACAGGCTGCAGGCTCCGGCCCCGTTTTCTAGATAAGATTTTGTCAGCAGGAACCACATTTGACAGGATGTTTGTAGTTTGATCTTCAAATTGTGGAAAAATTTCTTGCTTTTTTTAAACAGTATTGGCTTCCTGCGGCGTTCTTAAAGTCCTAACACTAAATTATTCTGGCTCTAACTTAAATTCAAGTAAGTAAAAAAGCAGGATGTATTTCTCATTGTGTTGAAGCCCCATAAAGTGTCTCCACTCCACTGGGATGGAGATGGGTATTTGTGCCAAAGGTCACACTTTGGGATCATTCATTCACTGGTGCTTCAGCTTGTTGCACATTGGTTAGATATTAATACTTAGTTACACATTGCATGTGCTGGTTAACAGCTATCGTGGCTGGAGTGAATCACTGATGAGCAAATGAAGAGGGTGAGAGCAAATAAACTTTTTTTAATGACAATGTAAAGAAGTTCAAACTAAATATTTCACAGTACTTGTTTTGGATTAGTTTGGAGCTTATCTATGTTTTCTGATTTGCCTGAGATCAGAATTTGGCCTTTAAATGAACTGAATCAGAGACTTTAATCTTTCATTTATATGTCCTAATATGAAAAAGCTTCAAAAGTATTAACATATTAGAAAAAACTCTTTCAATTAGAAATATTACTTATCACGTTGTAAGCATCATCAGTTTGCACTTTTCAAAATAAAACAATTTTCTTCCTGGCTGTTAAAGGTAGAGTCAGTAACAATGCATTGCAGCTCTTAAGAACAACACCAGCAGTGCAGGACTTAACGTCTACATTCACTGCTTGCTACCTTAGAATAATTAGTTGCAATGGAAAACATAATCATTTAAAGGAAGCTACAGGCGAAACACGTTGTTCGCTCACAACAAAATACAGTAAAGTTATTTTCAGTGTGCCACAGAGTTTTGATTCATATAGTTTCTGTATGTTTGTATTGTTTTAAAGGAGGACGATAACTACATGTATAGGCTTTTGGAATTTGCCTTTTTGTTTCAGATGTTTCAGACGCTTTAAAACAAATTTTATTAAAAAGTTATGACGTGTAAGAAATATCAATTTACTTTTGTCACTCCTTTGTCCTTCCTTGTTGTTGGGTTCTTGTGTTTCCTGGGTTCTTATGATGGTTCTTATGATGGTTCTTGTGTTCCTGGGTTCTTATGATGGTTCTTATGATGGTTCTTGTGATGGTTCTTGTGATGGTTCTTGTGATGGTTCTTATGATGGTTCTTGTGATGGTTCTTATGATGGTTCTTGTGATGGTTCTTGTGATGGTTCTTGTGATGGTTCTTGTGTTGCCTGGGTTCTTATGATGGTTCTTGTGATGGTTCTTATGATGGTTCTTGTGATGGTTCTTATGATGGTTCTTGTGATGGTTCTTGTGATGGTTCTTATGATGGTTCTTATGATGGTTCTTGTGATGGTTCTTATGATGGTTCTTGTGATGGTTCTTAGGATGGTTCTTATGATGGTTCTTGTGATGGTTCTTGTGTTGCCTGGGTTCTTATGATGGTTCTTATGATGGTTCTTGTGATGGTTCTTATGATGGTCTGGTTCTATATGTCTGTTGTGTATCGTGCACTTTGGGTTCTTTTCTGTTGAATTGTATTTAATTATTTTTAGTATTTAGTATTTGTTATGTTCTTGTTGTTGTTTATGTTCTTCTGTGTTTGGTTTAGTTTGTTCTTGTTTGTCAAAGCACTTTGTAAACCTGTGTTTTTAAAAGGTGCTATATGAATAAAGTTATTATTATTATTATTATTATCATTCAACACGGTCTAAAAGAAATGAATTTCCGGTGTTTAGTAACATAAATGTGTTTTGTTTTCGCGGATTCTTTTGCACACACACCCTCATCAATAAGTATTCCAAATGAAGCGTTGTGATTGGCTGATTACACTATGACGTCAGACACAGCGCCGAGGCAGGAAAAAAAAAAATCTCCGCCGCTGCTCACACCGACTGACCCGCTTCCAGGGAAAACTGCTGTAAAGTTTTGTCAGCGATAACGACGAAAACTCATGAAAGAAACCTGGACTACGGATAGTTCTGAAGCTGGACTTTAGTGGCTGTTTTAACCCCATTTTCATCATAACTGTGTGTTTCTTGAGAGACTTTCAAACTGGTGGAGTTTTCTTATTTTAACGGCCGACGGGATTTCCTCTCATCTCGAAGTTCCCAAGATGAACTTCGGTCCGGTGAACGGGAAACTTTCTGTAAGTCACCAAAACTCTCCTATACTTGTTTTATTTAAATGTATTCAACTGTTTCACAACAAACTGCGGCTTATTTAAGTGCAAATACTGTTTAATAAATGCTCTAAACGGAGGATAGATGTCTCGTATTGTACGTTAATGCGACGCTGCTTCAACACGACGGTTAACTTTTTAATCTAGTTATCGCGATAACTCGTTAGGCTTTAAGGAAAGTATGAAGCACATCTCCTGGACATTTCCTGAAGTATTTGGGAAGCTGTGTAATAACCATTGGGAGCAGAAATCACGGCCAGGCCTGTTAAAGTTGATGGAGAGAGATAAAACAAGTCATTGTCCGGGAAGCTGTGAACACTGTGTTTATTTGTTGTTTATTAGAGTGTTTATTTCTGTCAAAAAAAGCTTCTGTTTCTGCTTTCTGTGATCTGTAACTTACACTACATGTGCTGTATCATTCACTAAACCCCTCCTCCTCCTCCCCCTCCTCCTCCCCCTCCTCCTCCTCCTGCTCAACATTACATCTACCATCTGTGTTGGACATCATGTGGTCATATTGTTCAGACATTCAGCATATGATGGCTCTTGTACGGTCTGTCACAGCGGATGTAGCTCTCTGGCCCTGTCCCTAAAGGCTCTATTAATAAAGTGCAGAGCAGTTATGGCTTGCTGTGCAGGGCTCTTAAAGCTCAGGAAATCTTTAACACTTAAACTTAGCAGATTTCTACTTCTGTTAGAAAGTGCCAAAGAGCTCATTCTGACTGCCTGGACATTATTGAAGAAGCGATATCAGACTGGGGAGAGTGCTGTTGTACTGAATATTTGCATGCCTGGGACAGGGTAAACAACAGGACACATAGTTTATAATCTAATCGGATGTAAATATGTTTTTGTTAAGCAAAGAAACTGCACTTAGGTGATCATATTGATTGTTTTCTGAATATAATACAAATTGATTTGTTCTTCTTTTGTTACAATTCACTTAACATGTTTTATCCAAAGTGACGTACATCAGAGAGTAAGTACAAAACTAATCTATTCATACACTGCCACCTGCCACCGAAGCAGAGGGAGCAATGCGGGGTTAAGTGTCTTGTCCAGGGACACATCAGACATGTTGCTCAGCTGGGGATTGAACCCTTGACCTTGCGGTAGGGAGGCGACGACTATACCAACTGAGCCACAGCCGCCCTGTGGGACGCCCTAGACACATATTTGGTCTCTAGATGCAAAAACGTGGGATGAACATCACCAAAATCTAATGCGATTCTCTGTAAAAAATCTCAATGATCATGTAGGAATACACTGCAAAATTGCTAAAACCGCCAATCTGACCTTGACGAGGAAACAATAGGCCCAACAAAATATCATAAGCTGATTTAGAAAGCTCCCAGGAGGCTGAGACAAATCAGCCTCGCTTAGCATGGTAACTTGAACTCTTGAACAGCGGCTGTAGCTCAGTTGTTAGGGTTGCCACTTCTCAACCGGAAGGTTTACGGTTCGATCCTCGATGTATCCTTGGGCAAGACACTTAACCCCGCATTGCTCCCGCTTCTTCAGTGGCGATATATGAATGGATTAGTGCTGTTCTTACTTGATTCTTATCGCTTTGGATAAAAGTGTCTGTTAAGTGAATTGTAACTAACTTGAACACAGAGTTAGCCTCCTTGGTTGACGCTTAAAGCTAAAGCTAGGTTTTTCCTTTCCTGTTTCATAAAAACAACTTAGCTGTTGCTGGGCAACAACAGCTGCAATAGCAGGAAAAACATAACACGATTAAGCTGATCTAATGTCTGCATGTGGCCAGTATAACTGTTAGGGCCATTTAAAGTAGAAATACTCAGAACTATTTTGTGTTTAGTAAGAATCAAATAAAGACGCCTCGAGTAAAAGTCCAGATCCTAGAGTTAAACAAGATTTAACCGATATACCATAATTCATTTTAACAACATCCACAAATGACTGCCTAGGTAGTTCTACTGTTGAAGTATTTGAGTGAGGCCTAACACGTCTGAAGCTGTGATCTGTTGTGACCATGTAAACTGTATTTTTGCACGTTACTTAGTTGAAGCCGCAAAGTCTCTCAACAATATTTTCCAGTCAAGTATTTATTCCACTCTCAGACCTTCACACAGACGCCTTTTCATTCCTCAGCCTGTTGTTTTTTCCAGCAGTGCAAGCACCAAAGCCTGACACTATATAAATGCTGCATATGTATTCACTGCACAGCCTTAAAGTACATAACCAATTTATGAAAGGCTCTTTGGATTAATGTAAAGTGTGCGATTGATTTGAGCACCAGAGGGGTGTTCACATCCCTTCAAAGCCTTTGGAGATTTGACTTGAAATAGTAAAATTGGATATGATATCGAAGTGAAGAGTCATGGTAAGCATCTGAGTTAACATTAAGATTCATCACTAGAAGAAAAACTGGTCATTTAATCCAGTATTTCTGTATGAAGTACTGTTTGGCCTAATGCTGACTTTTTGACGGCTCTTGTGTTTTGTTTTGTTTTGGCACTTCTTGCTTAATATTTGTAATAAATACCCCACTATCACAACCCCCATTTCAAATCTTATATCCACAGCATTTACAGAAAACATTTTAAGATGCTTAATACGATACACATAATGGCCCTTTTAAAAAGACTACTGTTGATATGGGGTTTCCAGCTGTTTAAACACTACTAGCTTAAGTGAAGGTGTAAGAAATGCAAGTTCATATTGACAGGGCAAATAACGGTTTGATTTCTTTTGTGGTCGTAAGGAGCAACAGTGGGAGTTCTTAAACTGCAACATTGCAGCGTTTTTGTCCAAGATGCCGACTGTTCTTGCGATGAATTTTGCAGCTAAAGTAAACGTAACATCTGCTGGTTTTGCCTGGAGCGTCGGTGTTTGTTTTCAGCGTTTGTCTGATCTGTGTTTCAAGTCGTGCAGTGCACCATTTACTGAAATCAGATTTACGTCTCCGGGTGGCAAAGTCAATGTTTATCTCTTCTGTAAACTACAGTGCATTCTGGAGGCCTCCCTCCCCAGCCGGCCCTGTTGCTATGGGACTGTGAGGAAACTTCACCCCCCCTTCTATTCCCTTCCGACCCCTTTCCCCCCTCTTCTAATCCCCCCTCCACACCCCTTCAAATTGCCGGAGTGTACGTGCCTGGCTGTTCAGTAAACTTCCTGTCTAGAGTACACAGATATGCTGATATTAGAGGCATCAATTTACTTCTGAGAATTGTCATGCCTATGCAAATGTACTCTAGATTGTTATCTGTAATTTCTTTTCTTTTTTTTTACTGTGCGACTGGGTGTTGGTTCACACAGGAAATATCCCTCTCTGTCTCTGAGGACAACACAGACAAGGGCAGGAATGACATCTGGGACAAGTGGAGGTCAAATTGTGTCGCAGGGGACCGAGCAGTGGTCAACAAATTGTCCGCTCCAGAGTTTCTACTTCATACAGAGTCTTCTGCTTGTAGCTGCTCTGCATGGTGACCATGTGAACAGTAATAAACCAGCCTGTGGCTTACAGAGGTTACACAGACACTGAATGATGCAATGCCATGCAACCAAACCACTGTGAGATACCAGGTGGTTGGTGGACCTTTTAATGTTTGCTTGTCACAGTTTGCTGTCAAGTATTTAGTCTAGAGGTCGGACTTTTACTGGTGTTTAGTCTTTTAATTAATCTTGATGAATTAGTTTCCTGAAAGAGTCCGGGCTGGGTGATTTAAAAAAAAAAAAAAAATGAAGAATTGGGACAGGATCAAATGTACACAACTGTAATCAAGTTTGACATTTATTTATTCCATGGGTGGATCGAACAGCCGATCACACAGCAGATTTTGTTACAGCAGCCAGTTAGTCTTAAGTTTACACGCCATGTGCCTTCTTTCCTCTGAAAAGTGTCCTTTGAGCCGTGGTTGAATAAAAAATTAATGTTTTCCTGTGAATCATGAGAGAAAGTTGGACCTGACAGACACAAAAGTGACTGAATAAATTCCCATTATCCTCTAAAAACAAGAAAATTATTGACAAAAAAATAGGTAAGATTTAAGCTCAGCTAGCAGCCACAACTGCTAAACTCCTCATTTAATGTTTTACCAGTTAAAAAAACAAGTTCTGTTGGTTTTGATGGGGAAAATAACCGCTCTGTTACACTGAATACATACAAACAATTAAGCTCCTATAGAAAACTAGCTGAGCTATTATTGGCCCGACTCAGCTCCCAGCCCCCAGATAATCCCCAGGCTGCAGAAAAATAGATGAAAACGCTGATATTTACTTGGAACTGTTTATTGTCTCTTATTATAAAGAAAGTACCGCCTTAAGAGTGTGTGACTCACAACGTTAGAGTTCAATAATAACTATATTACAAGTAATTACAACCAATTAACTCTACAGTGTCTTCAGGCCTCTGTACTTGTCAGTATACCTCTCAATCTGACTGCGTCATGATGCATATTGATCTATGCAGGAACAATAAGTGAACTTAATTTTGTCCTAGTAGGATCTGTTGATGTTGTCATCGTTGTTGTTTGTGATTTACTATCTAGCATAAAAGACGTGCTGACTCACTGAGGGAGTGCCACCTGTTGATTTGCAGTTTACTCGCGTCATGCATACCAACGGAGGCAAGTCAGTGCGCACACTTGACTGGTTCAAGGGTTGAGAGAAGCGGGGTAATTTACCGTGTGTCAAAACATCCCTAGGTAAACATATTAACCTCACCCAGCTACATCTAATATGTTTTTGAGATACAAATAGCAACAAAGTTCCATAGCACGCACTTTTCACTGAGAATGTGAACCATACTTTGAGGTTCAGTACTCTCTCTCACGCAACTCTCTCATGTGTACACAAGTCATCTGATGGGTCAGATCACATGAGTTAGAAGTTAACTGTCCCTTACGCTCACAACACGAGGGGTGGACACTATTAGCCAAAGGGTAGAGAGCTTTTCTCAGTTTCTACTTCTTCTTTTTGTATTACTATTTCATTCTCCTTTT